TTCTTGATTTTTAACAGACCAGTGTTTTAGACAGCAGACTTTATTTCTGGACTCTCTCATGTTTCAAAGGATACATAGCTAGGTCAACAGGATACATAGCTCTGGCAACAGCCCTTCTGCTTGAGGGAGAGTAAACAAGTGACCATCTCCCCGTCAGGGCACAGGCAAGATGCAAAATGGGGCTCTGGTCCCCCTAAGAGAGGGGAGGAGGGAGCCTTGAGAAAATAGTGTCCTTTGGGAACAGCCTTCCACATCCTCTTTTCTGTGGTTAATTGCAAGGTATTGATTGAAACCACTTCAGACCACTTCTAAAAATTCTCACTCAACAAATACTTGTTGAAAACCTATTTTTCAGGCCCTGGTGTAGATGTTTGGGAATATTTGTGGACAAAATGAAGATTTCCACCCTGATGGACATTAAATTCTGTCAGGCATAAACAAACACTAAACAATAAACTTAAGAGATTAAAAATTATATGGTACAGTAGGGGTGATAAGGGCAATGCAGGAAAGTAAAAGATCAGGAAAAGAGGGCAGCAGGAGGGCAGGGGTGGATTGAAGAGTTAAGTAAGACAGTCAGGGCCTGTCTCCCTGAGAAAGTGGGATTGCAACAAACCCTAGAAGGGATGGGGAGTTGAGCAGGTGGGTGCCGGGGAATGAGTAACCCAGGCTGAGGGAATGGTTGGAGCTAAGGTTCTGCAGAATGTTTGAGAATCAGAAAGGAGGCCAGTGAGGCTGGAGCAGAGTGAATAAGAGGAAGGAGAAGGAGATGGGATCAAACTGAGCAGGCCATGCAGGTGCACTGTCTCGTAGATGAGTTGAGAAGATTTGCCCTCTACTGTCAACGATGTTGTCTTTACCCACATAGCCCGATTCCTGCCTTGCAGGGTTTAAAACACTGCGCCAAATCTCATGGGATTCTAGGAGATAATTGGCAAATAGAATTAGGGAGAATCTTTGGGTTAAATATGGACTGACTTTTTCTCAGCTGAAGCTACCTAACAGCTACTTCTGTACAGAGCAGAGTGGAGTGAGAATTCCCAGCCTTTGTTCCAGAAGGTCTGGGTTTGTGATCCTAGTGCCACTACTTTCAAGCTGTGTGACCTGGGGCAGGTTGATTCTCCTTTCTGAGCCTGTTTCCTTGGTTCCAAAGTGGGGCAATTAGTACCTGTCATGGGCTTAATTGTGCCCCCCAACCAAATTCTTTTGTTGAAGTCCTGGCCCCCAGTACCTCAAAATGTGGTCTTTACAAAGATAATGACATTAAGGTGAGATCATGAGCGTAGACCCTAATCCAATAAGACTGCTGTCTTTACATGAAGTAGAAATTGGGATGCAGACATGCACAGAGGAAAGACCATGCGGGGACACAGGGAGAAATTGGCTGGCTGCAAACCAAGGAGAGAGACCTCAGATGAACCCAACCCTCCAACACCTTGATCCTGGACTTCTAGCTCCAGAACTGTGAGAAAGCAAATTTCTATTGTTTAAGCCCTCCAGTCTGTGGTATTTTGGTATGGCAGCCCCAGCAAACTTATACAGTACTCCAAAGGTACTATTATAGGGTGTACTTTTTGGTAACCAGAGTCTAAACGCTGTGCTTTCTAAGTCTGTTTCATTCTTTCCCTGCAGAGGTGCATTCTCCCCACCAGCAGAGATTCTGCCAGGAAGAGACATTCTCAGGAACAATTGCTAGAGTTTTAATTTTTTTCCATTACAGAAAATATTTTTTTCATTAAATAGGCAAAGTTGCTATTTACACTCCATCTCTATATCCCTGTTGATTTTACCATATGCAAACACATGAAAGTAAAATAGAAATATAGTTAAAAATGCAACCTTGTAGGAAAATATACAAGGAAAAACTCTCTCTCCCTTCAAGCTTCTACTCCCTGCTGTGTGCTCAAAGGTAAGGGCTGATGACAGTTTACTTATGTATCCTTCCAGGAACATACTTTATTCATTTATCAGAAAGTATAGGTAAATGCATCCTTTAAAAAATTTCTACAAAAGATACCAAACTCTATGGAGGGTACTACCATCCTCCCCTGTTTAATATCTTACAGATTTTTTCCTATCAGCCATACAGATCAACTTCATTCTGTCTCCTGGGCTATATAATATAGCTCACATAATTCTAAGTTCAAAGGTCAGATGGTTCTGGGGAGGAAGGTGCCAAAAAGTAGTCTCTCCATGAGGCCATCAGAGACCTGGCTGCTTGCACCTCTCTGCTGTGCCATCTGCAGCATCATCTCCACCCGAGGCTGGCTGCAAGATGCTTGCCAGTGGCTTTTGGAAATACATGTTTTTTATATTTACATTCATAAGACAAGGGGAGGGGAGAGAGAGAAAGAAGCCTCTCCTTGTGGGCCATAGCTTCTTTTAGGCAGGCCGAGCTCCTACTGAGACTGGTAACTGTTGCCAGGAAAACACCCTGTATAGATTGGACTAAGCCAAGCAAGATCATCCTCTAGCCGGAGATGGGATGGAGGCCTGACTGAGTCTGGGTTCCTGGGTGGGCCCGGCATGGATAGTAGGTTGGGGGTCAGCAGTGTCTGCAGGGTAGGAGTGATCTCATTTGCAAAGAACTGCATTCAAGCATGTTCACATGTGTGCAGGTAAAGAAAGATGTAGAGAAGGATGTTCACCCAAACTGGCTAATAGTGGTTATCTTTGATTAGTTGTTTCAACTCTTTACAACGATTACATTTACATTTTACAAAAAAAAAAAAAAAAGCCATTTTAAAAGACCTTCCATTAAACAACCATTCCATCAGTCACCACTTGGGATAGAAATAGAATAATTGTCTTTTCTTAAGGGTGTGCAGAGTTTTATGGCGATCCTCACAATAAACATTTTTTTTTAAAGATTTTTATTTATTTGTGAGAGAGAGAGAGAGCACAAGCAGGGGGAGCGGCAGGCAGAGGGAGAAGCAGACTCCTTGCTGAGCAGGGAGCCTGACATGGGGCTTGATCCCAGGACTCTGGGATCATGACCTGAGCCAAAGGCAGATGCTTCACCAACTGAACCATCCAGGCGTCCCTCACGATAAACATTATGAGAATTATTTCAGACATCCTGTAGACATGGGTCATTGGGTACAAGCTGGTATGAATTCTGCTCTGCCATTTCACCTGCTTCCCATATGGCTGCCTGTTCAGGAAGTGGGTATTCAAAGAGGAAAGTTTCCTGCCCTCTCCTCCGCTAGGTGCTTGTCCTCATGGGGTGGGACAGCATGTACAAATAGAAGAACAGAGGCACCATGTGGTTGTTTTCATGAAGAGCGTGGGACCACAGAGAGGAAGCCATCCATTGGCCGGGAGAAGTGGAGGAAAAGCTTGCAGGGGATGTGGTATTAGAATTGTGTGGGAATAATCAGAGGAGGTGGGCAGTGGCAAACGCAGTGCCTGGCTTGCGCATGAAGGGACTGGGGCCACATGGTGCTCTCACAGCAGGCCAGCCTCGTGGCTAGACCTCAACTCTGGCATTGAAAGGCAGGCTGGTGTCCTGTATTCATTTTCTATTGCTGTGTAACAAATTGCCACAAATTTAGGAGTTTAAAGCAACATCCTTTTATTATCTCATAGTCTATAGGCTGAAGTCCAGCAACGCATGGGTGGACTCTATGCCCTGAGTCTCACGTGGCTGAAGTAAAGGCATGGGCAGGGCTATGTTCCTTTCTGGAGGCTGGGGGTGGGGGTGGGGGGCAGAATTTGTTTCTAGGTTCATTCAGATTGTTGGCCAAATTCAGTTCCTTGCAGTTCCCCTCTGTCTTCAAGGCAGCAACATTCTGGCCAGGCACATGGAGCCCTTCCTGGGCTTCCAATCTTTCACCTCCCCTTCTGCTTTTCTCTAATGCTTTTAAGGGCTCATGTGATCCCACTGGGCCAACCTAGATAATCCAGGATAATCTCTGTATTTTAAGAGCAACTGATGAGTGACCTGAATTACATGTTCAAAATCTCTTCTGAATGAGTAAAGTAACATTATAGTCCCAGGGAGTAGGACGTGCAATCTTTTGGTGGGGTGGGGTGTTGGGGGGGGTGAGTAGGAGTGGGGAGGGATTCTGCTTGCTACAGTTTCTGAGTTGGACCTTGGTAGCCATCAATACCTAATACAGGGTCCTGATGAACCACCTAAGAGGATACCATGCTTCCTGCTGGGTGACCAGGGCCAGTCCCAGCCCTGCCAGCCCTCCTCCTCCTCTGCGAAGGGCCAGTGAAGTTGGTTGGTACTGGGCCCAGGGCCACCTGCCCTGCTGGCCAAGGCTCATCTAAGAATTGGCCTCAAGTATTTTATATGTATTGTTATAATAAATTCATGACCAACATTTTTAAAAATCAGGAACAGTCTCATGAAAATCTGCATTTTTGCTTTCTCTGGAAAATTCATCAGTTCTGGCAATGCTGAGTTCCTGGCCAAGCTGGAACTGGGGGCACCCTGGGGGAAGGGAGGAGGGTCTGCGCCCCCTCCCCAAAAGTATCTGCCCTAGGAGGCCCCACTGAGTCCATACCCAGTTTTCCCCCAGGGTCTCCACTAGGACGAGGAGAGAATCAACATTTACTGTGCCCTCGCCAGTGGCAGCCACTGAATATGTATTAACTCATTTAATTCTCAAAACAACTATTTTACTGGTGCTTCCACGGCACACGGTGCGGGCCTTATGCCAGGGTGGCCTCTAACCCCCGCCGCCACCAGCCGGAGCTCGTCCCCCGCGGCCCCTCGGCGGCCTGCCCCCGCCCCCACCGGCTCCGCGTCCCCGCCCCTGGCTCCAGAGTGCGGCCGGGAGGCCGGGCGGGGAAGGGGCCAGAGGCTGGAAGCCCGCCGCGCCCGCCGCCGCCGGTCCTCCGCCCTCGGGGCCGCCACGGTCCGTCCCCGCCGTGGTCACGTGAAGGGCCGAGCGGAGCGCGCCCAGCCCGGGCCTCCCGGGGCCCGAGGACAGAGTCCGCCGCGGCGGCCCCGACGCTCCCGCATCCCGGCCCGCTGAGCCGCCGCCGAGATGCCCGGGGCCGGCCGAGCCGCGGGCGTGAGCCGCCTGCGCCCGCAACCCTCCGAGGAGCCGCCCGCGCAGGAGGTAAGGACGCCCCGAGGGCTGGCGGCGCGCGTCGACGGCAGAGTCTCCGGCCCCGGCCCCGAGGTTTCCCTCCCGGCGCGGCCACCCCCGGAGCTCCGACCCCGCGCAAAGCCAGCGCCGGCTGCTGGGAATAAGGGCCCGGTGTAGGGAGGCGGGCGAGGAGCCCCCCTCCCGCCCCGGAGCTGACTCCGTCCTCTGGGCCGCGGGAGCCCTGGCGCCGGGGCTGCTCCGCTGGGAAGCGCACAGGCGGCTGGAGCTCCCGCGATCCGCGCCCCGGGCCGCAGCCCTGCACGCTGGAGTCGGAAGGGGGGCCGTCAAGTCCGCGCCCGCGCTGCCTGAGCCCACCCCGGAGCCGCCTCCTCCGGGCGGGGGCCGCGCTGGAAGCCGCGCCCGGGCTCCGTGTTGGGGATCCGGTGCCAATTTAGCGCGCCCCTGCGCGTCCCGGGGTCTAGGGTGGCCCGTGCTCGCCGCACTGTGCTCCATGGCGGCAGGAAAATATGCGAGGGTCCCACTGCAGGGAAACGCCCGGGAAGAAGGCTGCAGGATGTGGGTCTGGGAGTGCTGATGCAGCCCGGGCTCTTCTCATCCCCGCGGGACGAAGCAGATGGGCTCAGCTCTGCACTTCTTTGGAAGACCGGGAGCTTCCAAGCAGTCATTTCTGGACTGTTTCCTGTCTCTGGATAAGAGCTCAGAGTGCGGAGGGAAGCAGAACTCCAGGCGTTGGAGCGCCCTGCTCTGACTCAGAAAATCCTAACTGTGAATTACAAGATGAGGGCGGCCCCTTACCTGGTGGAGCCTCCGGTTTCCCCCTCTGTAAGGTGGGGATGAAAAGTCACGCCCACCTCAGAGAGTCTGAAGACCTTGTGAGTCAGGGCCAGGGCACAGTGCCTGGCACGCGGTAATGACAGCCAGGCTTCAGGCGTCTGTGGGAACGTTCATGTGGTCGGGCAAGTGTGTGGGAGGTGAAGGGTCTTTTAGTCCCTTCTTCCTCGCCCCGTTGAGCTGGCCTCTTCTGCTCTGCACTGTTCTGCTGTTGCCCCTGTCCCTTCTCCGTGGGCCTGCTTAAGGGAGTCCACCAGGTAGGCTCTTTTATGTAGGGTTTAAAATCCCTGCCTGGTGCATTGGCCTCCCTCTCTGGCCTGCTGGTCTCTCAGAGAGGCCTGGCCACTTCCAACAGGTGAATTCTACCATGTCTCCCTAAGGTAGAGGAAAGCAGGTCAAGGAGAAGGAGGAGGGGAAGGACTCTTGGCCCCTAGCTCTGACCCAACCCAGGTCCTGCTCCCCTCATTCTGCACAATGATGGACTTGTGATCACCAGAGTTTTCTATGGCAAGAGCATCTTTTCAGACTGAGATTGTCCATGTCCTTCCTCTGTGTACTTAATATTTCTTTGTCTAAATAAGAGAAGAATGTAAAAAAAAAAACTAATCATTTGAGACCTCAAGAAATGCAGGGAGGGCTGAAAACAGCCCAGAGTCCTGGTTGAGTCCCGGGTGAGGCTTTTGGCTTAATGCACGCCTGCAGGAATCACATACTTATGTCTCAGTAGCTTTCAAAGACCTCTCCCAGGGGAGCAGGCATAAAAGGTGGGGAGCCTGGTACCAACTGGTAATTCTAGCAGAACCCCTCATTTTCTGAGATAACAGCGATGATTGAGTCATTAAGCCAAGCAAGGCTCTGACCTAAGATGCTTTGTGGCCACGATGACGTGGTTAGTTTGGGGTCACTTAATAAAAAACTGCCTAGTCATCGGAAATGCATTTCTGCCCTCTCCTTTCAAGTCGTTTTTTAGATCCTTTTTCTGCCGGGTGTTTCTTTTGGCAGATGCTGAGGTGGCAATCTACTCCTTTGGTACTTTTACCAACACTTTCAGCTTTGAAATTGAAATAATCCAATGCTGGTGATCCTCAGTCTTACTGTTGGTTAGAATTACCTGGGGAGTTTTTTAGAAATGTATCTGGGTTCAAGCCCTACCGCAGAGATTCTGATTTAATTGGTCTGAGTGGGGCCTGGGTAACAGTCACTTTAAAGCTACCAAGTATTGAAAGCACAGCCAAGGCTGAGAGCCCATGTCCTGTACGCTGTTACTTTGTGATCTGTGTGATCACCTCTTGATATTTTATGTGCTTCTCTTTGAATGTTCTTATTCTTAAAACTTTTCATTCAAGTCTTAGATTACCCTGGCTTCAGGCTCTTGGGGTCTCCTGGTGTTCCCTTATAGTGATTTGCAGAGAAATTTTTTGCAGGAGGAAAATGGGAGGAAGCAGGAGGGCCTGGGAGAGATGAGTTACATCAGGTGGTCACAGGCTGAAATGCCCACAGGGGCCAGGGAAGAACATAAAGCCAGTGGCCTAGGTGGGAATGACTCAGCTGGAGAGTGGGGCTTGTGGTGACATGGAGGGTATGTCTTTTGCCCAAAGAAGATCATGGTTATCCACTTCCAGTTGGTTGTGGCTCCAGGGGCTATCATAGATTGCAAAAATGGCCACAGACTCTTCCCATCCTGGATACAACCCCATTTGCAATGAGCCTTTGCAACTCCTTACATCGGGAGATGGAGTCAATTTCTCCAGCCCTTGAGACCATTGACCATGAGACTTGCTTTAGCCAATGGGACAGCAGCAGATGCGACACAAGCAGACATATGAAAAATACTCGAGCATTGGTGCTTGCTCTTCTGATGCTCCTGGGATCCCTGTGACCACTGGCATGTGGAAGAGCCCTGGCTAGCCTGCTGCATGATGCACATGGCCAAGACATGTGAGTGAGGCTGTCCTGGACCATCTCCTCCAGATGACCATACAGATCCCCTAAATTGGCCTAGACCAGAAGGACTTGCCTGGCCGACCCACAGAATTTGAAAAAATAGTGAGTGTTTATTCAGGTGACCTGAGTATCAGGGTGGGTAGCAAAGGCATATTGAAATAGAGCCCAGCATTGCCAGATGTTATGACCTTTCAAAGAGAAACCAGAAGTTCAAATTTTTATGTAAGCTCCAGTTTTTTAAAAAAATTTGAATTAGTAACCAGCATCCATGAAGCACTCTCTGGGCCAAACAAAACACATCTTTAGGCTGCCCTTGGCCTGCAGATTGTTGGTCTTTCTGCACAGAGGGACTAACAGCTAACTGCTACCCCTTCTCTCATGGTCTCGCCATGGCTGCCATGCCCTGGCTTGCCCTTAGCAGCTAGCTGTTTCTTTATGTGAAATGCCCACACTACACTTTATAACCCCAGCTTCTCTTGGCAGTCTTTCCATTTGGAAATGGAAGCTGCTGGTATTGCCAGTCTTCATGGAGGAAGTGAGATTTGAGATGGGCCCCCCATGAAGGAAAGTTCTAGAAAGGGTACTCCTGGTTTTAGGTGTGGAAGTGGGGCTGGTGATGGGACAGTGGACACTAGTTTCAGCCAGAGAAGAGGGCTACCACCATAGGGAAATGAGGGAGACGAAGTTGGAGAGACGGGAGATTGTGGAGCCCCTAAATGCCAAGTTTGACATTTGATTCTGTGGGCACTCTAGGCAAAGAGAAGTCACTAGAACCTTTTGAATAGGGGTTGCATGGGGAAAGCAGTGATCACCTCTATTCTGGGTGTCAGTGTGCCCATAACCGATGGGGGCAAGGAAGGGAGGCAGAGGCAGGAAGTATAGTGCTTGTAGTGACAGAGGGAAAAACAGATGGGAGAAAATTGTCCTTAAGATTTACAGTAACTTCTTTTTACCTTAGGTTATGGTTAGTTAGGTTAATTTTCTTATATATCTAAACGAGACTTACCAGCTTTTTTTAAAGCACTTCTATCAACAACTTCGTTAAGGTTCTTGTCTGACTTAAAGGTATCTGGAGCTTCCAGTTGTTTATTCCTACACTGGGACATAGGGAAAGAACTTCCTTGCTTTCTCATGGGAGCTTCTGGAAATGATCATTCCCTACCCCCCTGCACTTTCTCTGCCCTCTCTCCCTAAAGGATTCTAAGTTATCCACCTTTTCTCAGAATGAAGGCTTACAGTGTTGAGAGGGCTGGAGGAGAAAACACAAAAATCTTAAATACATTTTCAAATCTTGGGGAGAGGGAGAAAATGTCCCAGCCAGAAGAAAAGGACAAAAAGAAAATCCAGAGAAGTCAGTTATTGCCCTAGTGCCATGAGAATACAAAGCATACAGGAAGCAGGAGCAAAATGGCCATATTTAGACCAGTGATTTTCCATCTTGCCTGCATGTTGGAATCCCCTGGGAACTTTACAGATTCGTCCTGGGTCTCACCTCCTTGAGACTCTTGATGCACTTGGTCTGGACAACGGGATCTTTACAAGCAAAGCTCGGAAGGTGGTGGTAGGTGCTGTGGGAGTTCAGAACTGCTGTCCTGGCAGGCTCCGGTGCCTCCCCGAGGCCGGGTCTGCTGTTGTGAGGTGCAAAGCCATCTATAAGCTGCGTCTGGGGGGAACATTGCTATTTGGTCTTTGTTTGTTTTCATGGTAGATATGGGCAGTGGATCGCATGTAAATTTGAAAGTATGCAGTTTTGAAACAGCATGTCTAACACAAGCCACATTCTTGGGTTGGATGAAAATGATTTGTTTTATGGAAAGATCCAGATGGCTTAGTACTAGTGAGAATGGTCATTGCACTAAGTTTGCCTGTGGAGAGTACTTCTTCCCAAGCAAAGACGGACAGGAGCCTTAGAAGTTGCTCACAAACAGGACGGAGAGAAGGAAGACAAGTAGGAGCAGAAGATGGAGCGGGTGAGATTTTAAAAAGACGCAGATGTCAGAAATGGACTAGGTAAGAATGGGAAGGCTTGGAAACAACATAAAGGTAAATTTGCTGTTGTGAAAGTGTCAGCGTATTTAAACGTAACAGATGAATTCAGATGGCCAGGCGGAGGGGGGCGATTGGAAGAGGTGCCCTAGTGCTTATATCATTCAGTGTGGGGAGCCTGCGTAACGTCTGATGGAGGTAACCCCCCAGGGCCTGGCTGGCTGAGGAATTGCTGCTGAGCATTTTTTTCCTCTTCTGTACCTGGAGGGCGTGTGGGTGTCAAACTGCTTGTTTGTGGACAAACCATTTCACTGGGACTGGAAGAATGTTAGTAGCATCATCTTTTTAAATTGGGAATGCTAGTGGCTTTAAGAGATTTTGCCTTAAATATATTTTTTAAAGGTCTTCATATGATAATTCGTTGCTGTTCCAGTATAATCTTTATGGGGCTTAATGGAACTTTCTTAAGATTAGTGTGCCTTCACTTAAAAAAAAAAAAAAAA